ATAACGTCATTTTTACTGTAATAATCTTACCTCATCTGTCCAAACATCCATATAGGGCTAATTCCTAAACTAGATACATTTATAGCTGACATTTTTTTCACATCTAGAGGCCTTAAATCCAATCAGTGACTTCATGTCATCATACCATATTCGAAAACATTGGTTTTTAAACTTCGTTATAAAACTTTCTTCATAAACCATGAAAAGTATTAAGTATTCCTTGTTTTTAGAAAAACCGTACAATTTGTTTCATTTATTAAATCATCTTCTTTGACCTTATAAACCACTGCAAACTCTTTTGTAAATTTTTTGGGGATAGAATGTAATATAAGTATAGAACTTATGAACTGTGGTAGAGTATAATTCCATTATGGATAACATTTATTTCGATTAAATCTCAGTGTTATACAGTAATATTTACTGATGACGTTTTGAGCACAATGTATTGCTCATAATCGTATCAAGGTATGAACTTGATGTGATTATGAGTAATAAATTGTTCTCAAGACGTCATCAGTGAATATTAGTGTATAACACTGTAGGACTTAATCAAAATAAATTTTATCCATAAGACACAGAATTTGCTTTCTGCGTAAGCTATTCTTCAACTCACAACTCTTCTCCGTAATGACAGTTTTCATTTTACGAGTAAAACGCAGGAAAATAACAACTGCTAACATATGTATCTTTTCAACTCTAAGGGATACATTCACACTTGAAGACGGTGAAGCAACGTTCGACTTCAATTTTTGAAAAGTACAAGTCGTAATATTAGTAAAGAGAGATATTATGGAAGCGATGAAAAGGCATTTCACCACACGTTTTGTATACATCCATTAGCCTGCCATCGCGAAGTGAATACGGTGAATTAGTCTAAGAAGATACTTACATAATTCGACTGAAAATTGGCAAGGTGAATTAACATCAGACTGTCACTTGGATGATGAAAAATGCACAGTCTTTCTTCATCAGTATCTTGATTTCAAAATGTAACACTGTGATAAATTTATTTGTTAATTTATGAAAACCAGTTTTATTGAAGCAAATGGTATATTTTTGAAATTACGATTTCCTGGAGTACAGCTGATTTTAATAACGAGCACTGGTTTTAGCTAACTGGGAACTTTTAAGACAGTAATGAATAAAAATAGTCAGTAAATGAATGGAAAACCTGGTAGAGACCACAAATCAACCAGCACTACTACTCCCGTTTACTTCATGAATTTTAAACTTATTTGCATTCAGAATCGCGTTTTCAACTTTTGACTTGTGTACTAAACATTTGAGGACCAATATAAATATATATATATTATGCAAATCTCTTTAGTAGTTGAATTTAAATAACCTTTTACTGATGCTATACTATGAGTGGTGACGTTTTGACCGCATAGCTGGTTATTCCCACTAAGTAACTGTCCACTAAATGTTTAGGTTTACTAAGATAATTTTGGTAGATTTGTGATTCGTGTTTTATATTCACAGTCAATTTGACTTACACATGAAGTCTATTTAGGAAGATTGCATAGAGGAATAAAATATTTTTTTAAAATTCAGGGTGGATTGATTGTTAACAGGACTAATTACTGAGATGCTTATATGCTGATATATTTGATACTAGGTAGACATATTTATGGAGAGATTTAGTTAGTCTGTGTTTCAACTTATTGATTTCTAAAGATAATGGCTATCTTTAATCATGTATTGATAAGTTCATCAGATAAGTAACCCTTTTCTTCCATGTAGGTAAAAAATTGATTTGAGTACTTTTGAAGAATCCGCCCCAGCCAGGGGTTTATTACATTTTCTTGTTGAACGAGATAAATTTCTTAGAAAAGTTATCATAAACTTCGTCAGATGTTAAGCAAATGGCAAACTGGTCTATTGTTCACCTAATAAACAAAGTGTACATATCTGTTGATTATTTAACACTGATGTTATCAAAGTAATAAGACATGAAAGTACTAAGTTCCTTTCTTTGTTTTTATTATCATGCGTGAACAGAATCCTCCCCTCAGTGTCGCTTACGGCCTTTTTTCTCTTAACCACTTTGTTTTATTTCTGTGGTTTAAAAATACTTTGGAAATAGTCGAGAGGTGAGTTACCCCTCAGGATCACCTTTCGTAATAATTAGATGCATTGCATACCACGTGGACGAAAAAGATAAGTTTATTCAATGTGATCAGAATCTGATGCAATAGTTCCACTTCGATTCATGTGTTTTTAAAGTAAATACACAAAAACAAAAGCCAAAAGCGTTTTTGCTGTGGTAAAGTTTTAAGGTGTGATAATTCAACATTTTGAGACAGACTCACTTTGACGACCTTGATGGTTTGGGAGAACATGAATGTTTATGTTATCAATCACCTTATAATCAAAATCAGGTAAAATTAGGCAAAAAAGGGTAAGAGTGAATGGTGAAACATGTTACTGTTTAAACCTGTTTATTAATTTTGATAACATAGATTGAATCTAGTGGTTATTTTGTAAGGTGTATTTCATAATTCACCTATTCTCCTAAAGGGATGAATCCGGGTTTCATTCTGCCTTCTCTGCCTTGTCAATATGAGAGTAGTATTTATGTATTCATAGATTAGGTAACATCTTAATAAGTACTGTGGCTGCATAACAGTCTTCTTTCTTGTTCGCTATCCTGCAATTAGAAGGAAACTGAATCAAGCAGTATTCGGTTACTACAAACTAAAATCCTTAGCTAAGTGTGTGTCATATTATCTCACTGAATAATGAAATGTGAAATAAACTCTTCTGTTTTTTTCTCTATAAAGTCGAAGTAATTTAACTGATTGGCAAAGTGTATGTGAACGTGCCGAAAATGACACAAAATATACAGTGCTGACTTACACTTCGCACGGTCCTCTGTTCAGTAAGACAGGAAATATGAAACATTAGAAAGAAGCCCAATTTTTGGAAAGGTTATAAGTGGTGTTCACCTGATCAAAATGTTTCCTTTATTGACAGTGTGTGAGAAATGGACTGATTTACAAAAGAAGTGATTTTAGAGAAAGCCACAATTTGGTCTTAAGTTCACTCACTTCATCCAAGTAAAGTTAGCTCAAAGACTCTGTTTCCCAACTGCACACTTAAATGAAATGCACCTGAGCATTCATTCACATGTTCGATAGGTTTTTGATAGACTTAAGCTGAAAAATGGACTGGACGAGAGCAGCTGAAAAGTTTTAAAAAATTGCTATATGCATAATTTAAGAAAAATGTTCATGTTTCCTAAAAGGTATTTTCGGATTCTTGATTAAAACTTAGATGAACGGCAGTGCCCAAGTTTAATATTTATGTCAATAATATAGATGAACTTAAAGTTGAAAAACCTTAAGAAACAGTGACTTATTGACTTAGTATAACATCCGGGAATTGTGAAAAACAAATATTGGCTCGAACAAAACCTTTTTGTGTTAGTGAACAATGTTGTTTCCAGCCTAACATTCAGATAATTAGTACACTAGTGATTGGCTTAGAAGGCTATTTAAACAAAATAGTAACATAAGCGACCTATTTCATTTGTTTTGCTAACCTAATGCTAAAGGTAGTGAAACAAAGTGTCAACTAAAATTAAAAGACGTGTTTCCGGAAACTGATAATAATGCAGAAATTGTTTTCACGAAAGTTATGGCAAGGATAGAGCGTGCTCGTTTGTGATGAATTCAAAAGTCAAAATACATAGTTGATGACTACAACCACGTGTACTGTAATGGGGTGAATAAAAAATTTTGGAATAGCAACGTTCTTGTAAATACGTGTAAAGCTGTTACATACTGCCCATCGCATTAGTTCATACGGATTTTGTGTTTTATAGTTTTGCGTAATTTCATGTCACTGCCCCAACAGAACAAGTCTTTAATATAACACACAGCAATCACTGGTTATTCAGTGATGTCATTTCGTAGAGAGCATACGGTCATGTAATTTTGTTTGAACAACTTTGAGGTTGCTCACAACGTTCTGCTATTTATTATTTATGGGTTTAAATGTTAGTAATATTGTATCTGGTATTAACTGTTGATCCTAGAATATTATTGACTGAGACTCTTCGAAACGATTAATAATTTTTGGATCTTTAGTTTACGACTTGATAAAGTTCCTGATAACTGACAACCTATTTGACTCTAACCAACTAGTTGAATCCACTCAATAGATTTCAAAGTCGTTAGAAGGTATTTAGTAAGTTATATGGTGATTGGACTTCTAAACCACCAAAGTGATCCCTTCATAGTTAGAAATATTACTTAGTGTTCAGGATATTATCATGTTAATTAACTATCTACATGAAATCTCAACAATCACAGTATCTTAGCACTAAATTATTCATTAAGATGTACGCAGGAAATGTCTTTGTAAGTAATACTGTCAGACAAAAGAAGGGTTTCACAGTCCAATTCTTTTATGAAACTAAAATCTCAAACATTTGGGAGGAATGGTACACTTTCAACACTGCACATATAGTGAATACTAATTTTATTAAAACCAAAACAGTAAATATGCCAGAACTATACAAATGAGGAAACAATTTTTCGTGGTTATCACAATCTAACTATTTGAAATACTATATGCTCAAATAATTATCATTAGATGATTATGTGCCATAGTAAACCACACTATTTCATCATGAAGTTAGGCTGTACCAAACTTGACGAATTCTCATCTTAATCTAATTTGAACTGTATCTGGTTCAGTTTTACTAAATATCTGTTTTATGGATTTAGTGTTTGAGCTTATGAATAACTTTATGTTTGTTCACTTTAACATAGCTGATTAACAGAGCAAATTATTTTTGTTATTCTGAGCTTTTAATTTTTAAATGTAAACTTTTCTTCGGATTATACTGATCTGGATTACTCTGTAATGCATAGAACCCAGCGAAACTTAAATTTTATTTATATGCTCAGTTGTGAGTAACTGTATTCAATTTGGTCTTCTAAGAAGTTCATATTATTGATTTCACATATCAGATTTTATTCAGATCGACTCACCTTTCGTTTCTGATGAAGTAGTAAAATTCATACATGGTTCACTGCAACGATTACGTGCATGTCTACTGTCATGATCCCTAGACTTCTGTGTATAGCGATCACGAGACTTTTTCTCTTTAAATGAATATGACTCATGATAAAGATCATTACTGAAAAGTTTAAACTGCAACTCACTATTTATACCTTTTAGTTTGATGAACATATTTAAGAATTTTAATTACGTCTGAAACAAGAAAAGAGGGTTGAAATCTAAAAAAGGCTTTACGATGATTTCGCTTTTTTGGAATTGATTTGACTTGCAGCTTTCCAAAGTCTTTAAACGGATGGTGTTCTGGCATATTTCAGAATAACTTTACTGTGTCTATCTGTTATCTATTTTCTTAGTACAAATGAAAATAATAATGAATATATGAAATACTGTTATTATTGGAACTAAATAAACGAAAGCCTGGCACATCTAACTTTCCATAAAGCATAACACGTCAAATCTGCTCCAATGCGTTCTTAAAGAACAATCTGCATTCATGTACCGTTTAAATGTTTTTCAGTATACTGCTAGATAGTTTTTGTAGAGATAAAACCACCGGAGGTCGGAGCACGTTTCAGACTGAACAATATTCCGTCAGACTGTATACAGAAAATTACTATTTTACTTATAGTTTTGGTACAGGGAGTAGACAAAACACTGAAAAAGTGTTATGCTGTTCAGAGCAGGTCTGATATTGCCATTACTAATATTAACTAAAGAGAATAATATGGACACACTATTTAGTCAATCGACCACACATTATCCCTAGCAGATATATTTTGGCTGACGGTTTACTGTACTCTAATAAGCTGTTCATCTGTATTCAAATAAATGAGTTTGAATTTTATTTCAGTCAGATACTTGTGCATTTGAATGCATTAGAAGCGCGTCTTATTCTATGTATGCATATTTCAATGAGAAAACTTCAAAATCAAAACCTACAGCTTATACCATCCACAAAATATCTCATGTTTATTTATTGATCTAAAAAGCCATGTGCAATGTATTGTTATTTATTATTATTATTTCCTTGGCTTCCGAGTGGAACACAACGCTTCAGCAACACATCTCCACTTCGTTCTTTTTCCTGGCGTCCTCATTAGCTGCCCCCATGGTTGGCCATAATTTCTCATCTCCTCCTCACGTAACCTCCTCTTTGTCATCATCAGATAACCCAACTCGTTACTTCACGTTTAGATTCAACTCAAGCGATGGTCTACATTGCACGCGATACCATTCGAAGGCCTCCTCAGCGTATGTTCAATCCATCTCCGTTTTCTGATATACAATTGTGGAAAAATAGGTTCTTGTTTGGTACGTTCCCGTATTTCATTGTTGCTAATTCTTCCTGGCAGGCCATTTGATTTTCAGTATGGAGTTAGGAAAGGCCACTGCTGATAAAAGTCTGTAACTTGTTAGAAATCCTTAACATAACACGCTTAGTTTCTCAGCCATGTAGAAGAACTGACTGACTGAATAGACATTTATGTTGAAAATCCCAATCTTGTCCTTGACACTGGCCGAGTGCAGAAGATTTCAAACTGGTTTCAGGTTAGTGAAGGCGTATGTGGCCTTCTAGACTCTGGCTGGATTTGACATCATCCGTTCCGCCTGTGATTGAAACGACTCATCCTAGACGAGTGAAGGAAGTGACCCCTCTCATATTTCTCACTTTGATGTTAATTAATGCTGATTATTGTTACTGTTTCTGTTGGTTGGTTATCTTTATCACCTTCATCTTCTCTTTGTTCACATGGAGTTCTGTCTTTGCTCCCAGCTTCTTCTGCCAGTATGTTGGATCTTGCCTGAAACTCTTCGAGTCTGTATGGCATTGGACATAAGTCGTCTGTGAAATCTAGACCTACTACAGCCTCATTATCGGTGAACCAGCGCATTCCTATCTCCTCGTTCCCAACGCAAAGTCTGGGAAATAATCCAGTCCACCACAATTAGGAATATCATTGCTAATAACACACAGCCAGCCTGTTTTACTTCTGTATTCATTTCAAGCGCCTCGCTGAGTTTCCCATTGTGGATCACCTGATACGTGGCAATGTCATATAGCTAGATGTTGAACGAAGTTGATAAAGGGTTGAGCACTGCACGCAGAAGTGTTGAATCAGATTCCAAATTACTTCTTGGTCAACGCTTTTCACGCTAACCTCAAAGTCGATGAAGTTGAGGTAGAGGTTTGAATGCCGTTCTATACTTTGTTCAGTGATGAGGATGCGTAGAGTTGCAGTTCGATCAGCACCTCGTTCCGGTGAGTGGTGTGGATTCAGTGCATCCTTCATTCTCTCCAGCATGATGCTACCTAGTATTTCACTTTGCGCGGACAAAGGATTTATTCTACTCCAGTCCTTGCAGAGGAATAACCAGCTCGCTCTTCTTTCTAGCTTAAAGAGGTAGCCTTTCTTCCAATTGATAGGCACCTTTCATTCGTATTAAATCTTTTAAAATGGTGGTGTGAGCACATGTGTCAAAGTCTCTGAGCCTATTTTCAGTGCTTCAGCGTGGATTCTGTCATCCCTCCCGCTTTCCCGGCCTTGAAGAGCTTGACTTCATTCAAAACTTCCACCTTTATTGGAAGATTGGTGTTCACTGACAGTTTAGTGCGTGCTGATGGTGGTATTCCTGGGAGAGTTGCAGGTGAAAATGGTCGATTCAAGAGTATTTTGAAGTGGTAAGATCACTGCTTGCTTCGTTTATCCTCTTTGGCAACTAGATGCCCTTGACCATCTCTTATTTGCTTCATCTGAGTTAATCTATTCCTGGTTCGAGACCCATTTGTCTGATATAGTGTTCTGAGGTCTCTTTTACCTGCGGTATTCTTGTTCTGCTGCATTTAGCGGCCAGTGTGTCACAGTATTATCTTCTGTCTCTCCTAGTACTCTTCTTTACCACTTTCGTTATTCAGTGCAGTGTACAGTGAACTCATCTTCTCCATCTGTTGCCCATCTTCTCTACCACCATCCTCCCCTCCTCTATTACCTTCTGGGTGCGCGTTGAGAGCCAGTTCTCGACTTATCTGTTCTTTCATCCAAGGACAGTTGTACACGTTTCCTTGAACATCACCTTCAGAGAATTCTGGTGTTCTTCAACAAAGGTTTCCTCAGAGATGTCATGTAGCATCATCGATTTTGCTCTGATCTAATATGTAGTGAAGGTAACCCTTGTAGTTTTGTCTTTCAGTTTCAGAATGTTGAACAGGAATTACAGTGGCCTATCTCCAGTGTTTTCAGAGATTTCAGCCTAATTTTGAAGGTTCCTTGAATAAGATGATGGTCTAAATCCACATCTGATCCCCCTCCCCACTTTTTGTCTAACAGGCTGCTTTAACAGCATCCCAAGATTGAGATGAGGTCTACTTGTTTTGTCGTGTGTCCGTCAGGCGAAATCCATGTTGCTTTGTGTATATCCTTGTGCTTGTATACGCTGCCTCTAGTCACCAAATTATTGACAGCGCAGACGTCTGTGAAGAATTTTCCTCCTCATTCATTTCTTCGAGTGAGAGCCTCTCGATCCATGATGAGTTCGCTTCCTGTATTATTGGGTCCTATTTTGGCAATCATATCGCCCATAAGGATTTTGATGTCACCATTTGAGATATTGTCCATTATTATTTGTAGTTGTCTGTAGAAATCTTCCTTCTCTTGTTCCGCGTTGTTTGAAGCACTATGCATAGCATTGAATCTTGTTGTCAAGATCCTGGATGAAATTGATTCCCACTGCACTAGGGCTTTGGCTGCCACTGGTGATAGCAACTGACTCCCTTGGTATGTCTTTGGTTATCGTCTGGGCGATTGGAGTAAATTACTGACTAATCAGTTGACAAATTTGATAGCCTACATCCATTTAATCTGCTCTGGCAGATTTGCAGATTTAATATCTTCCCATTTCTCTAGCTACCTTCGCAGCCTTTTCAGCCTAGTACATTGTGCGTACATCGCGCGTATCGATTCTTCTTCTTGGTTTCATCTAGAAAATATACATAGGTTGACTGGCTTCCCGACGGCCGACTTTCACCATCCCATTATGTCATTTTGCTTCTCCGAATCCGCGGATGATAGGTTTGCTTACCGTATTTTTTGTATTTTTGAAATTTTTGTGCGTCGAATTTTCTGTAGCAGTTCGACTGCTTTCGTTGGGTAGGGTAACTAGCTCAACCCTCTGTATTTACTTAGGCTTAGGTTAAGCAAGAAGACTACTGAGCTAGTAAACTAGACGAGGTTGACACTGTATATTAAAGGGTCAATAAATAAAACAGCGAACTAAGCATAGACATGCAAACATCCTAGTGGATAATTTGCAGTATGCACTTTCCTTTACATTAAAATATATCTAAACAATTATGCACTCGGTGTAGAAATAATGTCCAGTCTGTTGTATTCTATGATTAACATTTTAGCATAAGTTTTACCGGTAGACTCAAAGGGAAACAAAAATGAAAATAATTTAACCTGAAATGAAACTAATAAGTGGACAACAAACTGAGGTATGAAGTTAACTTACATTTGGCGTCTGTAGAAATTGTACACATAAGTCTTTTAAAATTAGATATAGTTTTTACAGCCTTTTGCTGTTATCATTTTACCTCGCGTTAACAAAACTGGAGTTGGATTGCGATAGATTGATAACGTAGCATCTGTGGAAACTAATCGCTCAGAGAGAAGCCTTCAGACGCCATAAGGCTAAATCATTTATCTATAAATGTGATCTTATTTTTATGTAATTGGATTGGTAAGATTATGTGGGGTGGTTTTACTGTGTTGTTCTTTGGGTGAACGTCCAGGAATATTTTATTTGAGAAGTGCTTCTGAGAATGCCATTTTACTGTAGTGCAATTAACAATTATTGTACGGTATTTATCAATACATTTCAACAAACATATCCATTTTTTACTTTGATGACGCAGAATATATAAGACGGTCATTGCGTGGAACGTTAGTTTCAGCGCACAGGTCCACACAGTTGTCTTCCATTATGGGAAAAATCCCCGTTGGGCGTTTAGAAGACAAATGGAATAAGCCAAGAAATATGAAAAGTAAATATTTCGTTGCTCGATCCTTTCATCTCTTAAATATTTGTACTAAGTATAAAAGAGAACTTCAGTTACTTTCGTGAGAATTCAGGGATATTTTGAACAAAGATATACTTTACTGATTAAAAGCTGG